ATGATGAGTGAGCTGTGAACAACAATTACAATTCAAATACAGTAGCAAAGCAAGACTTTGCAGTAGTGAAGCAAGTTGATGGGCAGGTGGCACACATGACCAACACAACTCGGCACCAGAGCTGGCAGAGCACCCCCACCCCCACCAGATCATGCTGGGGATATCCCTGTCAGTTGCAAAATGTATTTTCTTCATAGCCAGGCATTCACATGAATGAAGATTAGAATTGCATCATGTTATATAGTCTTAAATATTTAGGAGGGGTCTCTATTATTAAATTAAGAGATTAAAAAGGGGTCCCATGACATTTTGACATAAGAATCTCCCACCCCACCCTAGGGTATAATGAATGGTCACTTAAAGTACATGCCATCTTCTAACTGGTTGGGCACCTTGCCCCTTTTGTTATGGAAAATCTATTCCCTACCTTTATCCCCTGGGACAAAATATTCAAATCAACTCTCCACCCTGATAATGTGCAGATGGTAACAGCAAGAATTGAAACAAGCAAGCTTTACTGGAGTACATACTATTATTAGGAAGCATCAATTTGCACATGCTAATTTGCCAGTCAAGATTTTAACGTAATATTTCTTATCTCATATAGAATTCTTAAGGTCTTGTTTACATTTTACTGGAAGCAAACTAAGATGCATATCCAATATTTGGATCATATCATTCATATGTCAGTTTTGCAGCTTGCCAGCTTCAACAACATTTGGCTGCAAGGATAACGTAAACAAAAAAAGAGCATATAACACTTCACCTGCGTTTAAAATATCAATGAATAAATATTCCAACCATTGGCACTTTATAATATAAGTGACATTCAACAATAGATCAATAACATATACAGTATATGCAAAAACATTTCTTTGAATCACTGTATAAAATATTCCCCATAAACTCGCTCCAATCGTCGCACAGCAGAGTCTTTAAAAGGGTAAAACCAAGCTTAACATCCCCAGTTCAAAACACTTTCCGTGTCCTCTTAGGCAAGCCTGTCCAGCTGGAGAACATCTGTCGTAATACTATTATATTTTGGCTGTTAATTTTGTTTAGCAAACGAACGATATTTACCAAACCCAGTTGGAAGAACAGCAACTACATAGTTCCCATGTAATAAAAGCTGAAGAATTTGATTTCGAGTACGTCGGTAGCAAAAAGAAGGAAAAATTTCAAAGACTAAACGCATTTTTAAGCCGCTCTAAGCACTTAAATTTTGTGTACACTCTTACCTTGGCGGCCATCTTGGATTTTTAATTTATTATTATTATAATTTATTACACCCACTATATCTGGGTGTTGAAAGTCATGTGAACGGCCGGTGCCAGGGCCTTTTCCCGCCTTCCCAATGACAAAAAGGGAAAAGCCCTGGAACGAGGTTGAGCATGTGCCACATATAGAATTCGCGCTGCATGCGGGCTTTTCCCCGAGTAGCATATTAATTTGGTCAAGTTGTTTATTTTAACATGCCTATTATTTTAAATCCCTTGGAACCACTTACGGTGGACATAAACAAAGAAATATAGATTAGTACTATATTGCTATAAACTTATTATAGGGAAATCTTATTTGGCAGAACTACAGCGCATTTTTAGCAGTGACATGAACTCAGACGTCTGACCTCAGCAACATTCTAATGTAAACAAAAGGCCATAAAGAGTATCAAATTTCAAACGCTCTCAATTGTTCAAATCGCGTTTGCAGACGAGTTTTATTACGGTTTTTAGTACTTCAAAGTGTCCTTTTTTCAACTATACTAGTCACTGTGTGTAATTAGGTCCCACTTTTAAGAAATTCAGCGTAGAAAATAGTAGGATTTGAAAGCCGTATTTTGACATGGCGCTCTTTGTCGCTAAATATTGTCACAAATGCTCTGTAATTGAAAACCTAAGTTAGTTTAGATGAAATTACGATAGTTTTCCGGTGCTGGGTGTGAATATCAGAAATTTTGAACAAAAACGTTTGAAAGTAGGAGTTACTATCGCAAGGAAAATGCTGCCGATATGTACATGTACTGTAGGATGTGCTACAAAAAGAGCGTTTTTCACTGTGTGTATGATTTATTGTCTTACACATCGTCGTTCCTCAGTTACCTTCGTACAATTATATCTTACATCTAATCTTATGAAAAGTATATTTTAATATACTTAACAGTGCGACTTTGATAGTTGACACATAATACAAATGATAAAATGTGAATATTATTGAATGATTTTGTCACTCGTACAACTTTTACTTTGGCTATTCAAACAATTGATTTAAAATAGTTGAATTTATACTTACTGGGATGTTATTGCTTATTGGGATGTTGAAATTATGTTTGTTTTAAATACATTTAATTGATATTCCATAAATTCATTTTGTATGATTTCATTGACCTTGACGTTGTTCAAAATCATTTTGTATTGTATTGAAACTGTATGTCTATGACCCATGTTATGTACTATATTAACCCATTGAGTCGCATTGCACCCTGATGCACCCTACTTTGAACAGCATTTTACTCTGTCTAATGCCAGACGATTTTACTTGTCAAGGGGAGAGTGCTGGCGCTTAATGGGTTAACTGATCTATCTGCCCATGTGTCTAGTTAACCCATTGGGTCGCATTGCACCCTGATGCACCCTACTTTGAACAGTATTTTACTCTGTCAAACGCCAGACGATTTTACTTGTCAAGGGGAGAGTGGTGGCGCTTAATGGGTTAACTGATCTATCTGCCCATGTGTCTAGTTAACCCATTGGGTCGCATTGCACCCTGATGCACCCTACTTTAGTATTTTACTCTGTCTAACGCCAGAGTATTTTACTCTGTCTAACGCCAGAGTATTTTACTCTGTCTAACGCCAGACAATTTTACTCGTCAAGGGGAGAGCGCTGGCGCTTAATGGGTTAACACGCCCAAAATCTGTACTAAAACTGCTAATTCTGTTTTGTGATTGGCACAGTTTAATCAAAGAATCCTCCCGTTGAACCAGAGCCTTCACGATATTTCAATTTATTATTAACTGAAGGCTCTGGAATCCAGGATAGCTTGCCATTGAATACAGTACAATGCTTATATTTCTGAAAGAATAAGATCATACTCAGAACAGTCAGAACTGCAAAACTATATTGTTAGAAAGAAGTTGAAGTTGTGAGCATTATTGTGGTAACACAGCCATATGTATATATCAATGTATGTCAGTAGAATCATGTTTATAGGCTTTATATATAACTGAGGCCTTATACAAGTCATATCTTATACAAAAGTCAGTTGATATGCTATATTACATGTAATTGCTGATAAGTCCATATATGCAGACAACAATCCACACTGGGTAGCTCTAGGAATCTTGTTAAGCCTGATTTAACAACATCCCGCGTTTGTTTTTAAACTATAAACATTTAGAAATAGAACGTACCGAACACTATTATATACTCACCGCCTTTGGCTTTGCACATATTAAGTGACATAACAAACAAATAAACTAAAAGTTCATTTGCTTCTTGTATCAGCATAAAGGCATTAATCATTACTGTCGATTTGGTCGGGAATAGATCAGTGATTCAGTGGGTATTATAATTGCCGATATATTCTTGAAATCATTTTGTTTCAATGCCTCTATATCGAAGTTTAATACACCAAAGTGACTAAACAAGTATAAACAGCAGATTTAAATATAAATGCCTTCATGTATTATAAAATATATCACCAGACAGGTAGACAGGGCACACGGCACGACTACATCACTATACGAGAACGAAATAAAGCCATCCTTACCTGAATTATTCAAAATATTGTCGATCATTCTTGCGCCAGAGACACAAAATAACACCATGCTTTATTTACCCATTCATCTTCACAAATATTACTCGGAATTTTTATGGAAATTCGCATTATTTTATGATTTTTATATTTCTGTCCGTTTATAACAGTCAGTAGGGTCGCAGTGCTCGTAAAGTCGATTGTGATTGGTTATTCGTAATTGGCGGTTGCGGTGGTTGCAGCCAATCATCAAGTGAGGAATGCTGCTGCAGGGAAACCCCATTGAAAAATTAAAATTCTGGAATATTAAAAGTGTGAAATCACAACACTATGAATATGAAGTTTTTATGGATGATTGGATGAACTATTTTATGAGCACTGCGACCCTACTTACTCATGTTACAGTCTTAGTGAGTATATAAAATATTACAATTATTGTATTTATACTTGCATTCGAAAATATTTTCGTATTAAAAAATGGCGAGTTCGCGACAGTCCGATCAGGCAGTACATGCGAAAATCTACTCCCGAGTATTACTTCTAGCTGAAGGAAGGTTATAGATCGAATATTTTACCACAACAATAAGTAGTATTTACAACATGAGCGGCCGTGTTGTTATCGGATATACAAACTAGAGCCAAAGGTGAGTTAAATTAATATGAAAGTTTTTGAGGAGCTTTAGTTAATATACAATATATCACTATTTTTCACATTGTAGTAACAAAAGGTTAGAAAGACTGCGAGAAAATTTTTTAAATGAGTTTATAGTTGATTATAACAGCAAATTTAGCTTGTTGGGTACAAATAATTTATTTTTATACTGTGTGTCAATGAATGACAAAAACATTATTAATCCTACGGCCAAGTACATATACGAAATTATGAATATTTTTTAGATCTTGCCTGCATCTAGCTCTTCCTTAACTTGTCCTTGTTTAAATTTTGTCATTGTTGTAAATATTATTACTCTTGTTCCATTATGTTATTTTTATATAGCTTATAGACATTTGCTGTATTCTTTATATACCAGTACTGGTATTTTTTAAGTTGACAACCTTATGTCTAAAATCGCGAGTATATTTAAAATGTTTATAAAGAGTGTACAAGTTGTTAATTGTTTTGATAAACTTTCGATTAGATTTCGATAATTTTGTCGACTTGGATATTATAACGTGAATCTGTGCGAGTATAAACGTGACTGAAATTTATAGAATATGGTTTCTTCTACAATTTCCAAGGCTTTATCAGGATATTGAATAGGCACGTTATCAATATTAAAGAATCATTGGCCCAACATGCTACAAAAAATATGGATATAAAAGGCCTTGGTTAGTTTTTAATAGCGTTTAATAGGAACAAGAGATGTCAGAAAATGAACATGAAATGCCTGTGTCTACAGTATATAAGAACAAGTTGAATAGTGCATGTTAATTTCAGTTTTTTTACTCTCACTATGTTTCACTACTACCTGCATGATTTAATTTAACCTCGATTTAATGAATGTGAGAGAGAAATTATGTACTTTAATATTAAATTAATATTATATGTTAATTATAAATATTATATGTTTCCAAATTTAACCTATTAACTGGAAGATTAAAAGATATTAACCCATTGAGCCACAATGCACCCTACTTATACAAAAATATGACAATGTCTCTAGTTACGTACCATTGAGATGCAGTTCCCCCCACTTAATTTTTTTCTGGTCTAAATGCCAGATGATTTTACTCATCAGTTTGGAAGCTATGCAGCTTAATGGGTTAAAGAGTATTCGCATGAGATCAATATATTCTAGTTGTAATAATTATAGTGGATTAGCAAGCAACAGCCTAGAATCAAATTCATGCAGCCCTGTTGACCAGGATGAAATTTCAGCCCTGCTTTACTACTATAAAATCCCAATAAAATTTGTTATTACATGACAAATTTTCAACCCAAATGAAAATTCAAGTGAAATTCCATCCCAGTTGAACTCACTAGCCCCTGACAGTAGCTCACATGCATATATAATTAACCTTGGGGCTGAAATCGTCCATGTATAATCAGTCCTTAATTGCTTATGGATACAGTTATGTAACATTGATGTTTGTTTTTTTCTATTGTAGTACTTGTAAGTTGTTAAAAACATTTGTTATTCATATGAACAAAAATTGCTATTAAATTTATATTTTGAATGTTTGGATTAATGACTCTCCTTTCTTCCAGCAGTATGTATAAGCAATTTAGGGTGATTGTGAATATAAGAAAGGGTGTGGTAAGAAAAGGTCAAATCGAAAATATTGTTTAAGTGGGTTGGACATAGTTTTTGTCTTTAAATTACTGGTATAAATGTAATATCACATCTGCTGTGATATTGTTACCACATTAATCTACTATGGTGTTACCTAGTTATAAACTAACCAATTCTCATAGTTTTAATGATACAAAATAATCTGATATATCAAAATCCTTTTAATGTCTTAAATTACAAACTCCTGCATGTGGCTTGAAATGGACAAGCATTTCCTCTGTAAATCCCATTATATATTATATTTATTAATCAGAAGAGAGAGCTTTTAAATAATAATTAAAAGCTAGGATTAGTATAACTAAGATTACAACAATTCGCAATCTTGACTTCTTGGTTTTTCCTATGATTTTCCAATGATGTTGGCGTAACCGCAATTCGTCATTGAAATGCCGATGCCATGGTCACAGCCATGCAGGGGCGTGGCTAAGGGGG